TGATCGCTGCCTGCAGGTGGGGCGCTCACTGCGCGCCGTTGGCCTCCGTCAGCCCTGGGTGCCGAGACTCGCCCCAAACCAGCCTCCCTTCAGAGTGACAGATCTGTTAATGACACATCGGGGTTCTCAGCGGGTGGGCGTGGCTTCCTCCAGCTACCAGGCTGTTACCATAAGCCCGGTCTAGGAGCTTTGAGACCCAGGCCTAGCACCTGTTGCAAAGAGAATCTAACAAGCTCATTGGAGAGAAGAGAGAAGAGCGTGTTGAATGACTCACCACTGGGTTTGGAAAGGAATGGTGGAGCGGAGGCAGGAGACAGGCTGCTGGTGATGGGGGTGGGGCTCCGCTGCCCACCCGAGGGTCTCTCCTTGAGCTGAGCGTGGACGCCAGGGTTTCCTTTTCTTGTTAAGGAGCGAGCCCTCGGCCAGCCTGTACTGAGGGAGCAGGCTGATGCGGTCCACCTGGCCCGTCCCTGGAATAACTCGAGGGGCAGTGGGTGTGATGGCTGGGCCCTGGACGGAGCTCTCTGGGGACTGGGGTCTGCCCCACTGAGCCCTTTCCCCATTTCTAGTGTGAGGCACTGGGTGAAACTGTCCCAGGTTCCCATGGGTTCAGGTTTTCCATCTGATGCCCACATGGGCCTCCTTCCTTGGCCTGCCTTCCTGGCTTCCCTGACCAGGGAGACGGAGTGGAACTGGGTGTTCAACAGACAGGCTCTCTCCCATGCATCGGGGGGGCCAGAGGGGCACTGAAACTCAGGAACGTCAGAGGAGTGGACAGACGCCTGGGGACCAGCTACGATATTCACAGGGTCCAGTTCATAACAAAAATTGGGGCCCTTGTTCAGACTTTTTAATGAATTACGATGACAGCAGAGCATTAAACCCAGGGCAGGGGCCCCTGAGCACAGGGCCCAGGCGTCCGCGCGGGTTGATGCCGGCCCACCAGCCCGGCTGCCAGGTTGGGCTCTGGCTGGGTAAGGAGGTGGGGTCTCACGCCCACCGGATCCTGAGCTTCCTCCCCTGAGGGCTAGGGTGGGCATGGCCTGAGGGAGTCTCGGGCCTTAAGGGCAGGGCGTGTCTCACAGCCCTGGGGGGTGTCACTGGGGTCAGAGGCAAGCGGTCCAGGCGGAGGGGCTCTGGGGGGGCCGCAGGCACCTGGTGGCAGGCTTGGCTGTGCCTTAACCTCAAGGACGGGTCCTGGCTGCTCCCTCCTGTGCAGGGCTGTTCTTTCACTCACCGACTCATTCACTCGTTCACTCACTCAACAGACATTGGCAAACTTTGCTCTGTGCTGAGCTCTGGGAATTTAGGGTGGATCAGAGTAGAACTCAGCCCTGCCATTACGGAGCGTCCAGCCCAGCAGCCTCAGGGACAGGCAGGTCTGGGGAAATCCAGAGAGGCTGGCTCCTCTGGGGTCACGGCCTGGCCTGTCAGGGTGGAGGGCTGCTGGGCTGGACCTGGCTGAGGGTGCAGCCAGGGAGCCAGGGGCATCTGCACATCCCATGCCTGGAAGGCAGGCACCACGGAGAAGTCAGGGTGGGGCTGAAAATGGAGCCAGTGGAAGCTCTGGATTGGCGACAGGAGGCCCCTGTCCTGCCATGTACAGTGTCAGCCAGGTCACTGGACAGCTCTGTGCCTTGGTTTCTTCATCAGTAAAATGGGAACAACAGTATCGGCCCCTCCCTATGGGGCCATGAAAGGATCTGGTGAGCTGATGTTCTTAATGTGCTGAGTTGGCACAGCGTAGGTGCCCGGCACCCCCACCAGGAGCCTGCGCAGCCCCAAGGCCCAGAGGACCAGAAGTGAGAAAACAGGACATGGGGGTGACCAGGGACAGTGTGGCCTGTCCTCTCTTGGGCAGGGGCAGCTGAAATCCTTGTCTTTTCCTTGGACGCTCCCCACCATCCCGAAGGACTCTCGGGGGCTGTGGGCTCAGGAAGCCTCTGGGTGGGAGGAGACCCTTGGCAACAGCCAGGACACAGAAGCCCCAGCCCACATTCTGGGTTTTTCTCCCGCCCAGATCAAAGCACCCCAGAGCTGCGGTAACATATCAGCCGCTGTAAAAATGGTTCCTGGGATATTTCACCTCCAAACCTGCCTGGCCGTTAAGAGCCTGAGCTCTGAAGTCACAGTCTGGGGTGACACGCGAGCTCGCCTGCTTACTGGACAAGTCGTTTTGGCACGGTATTTAAGCTTTCTCTGCTTTAGTTTCTTCATCTGCCGAGTGGAGGCAATGACACGAGTGGCCTTGTTGGTTCCCGGGGGTGGAGTGGGTGTGGCTGAACCATGTTTGCCTGTGCCCCCAGGTGGGTGGCCTCAGCGGGTGTTAACAAGGGTATGTGCAGGGCGGGGATGGGGTAGAACTTCATCCTCACCCTCCCAGAGGATGCTGAGTGTTATTTCCTCATCAGATCCAGAAATGAGGTACATGGGGCTTGAAGGGTCTGACCCCAGAACTAAGGGGTCCTTCCCGCTGCCAACTTCAGAGACTGGGGTGCCCTGCTCTGTCCATCCGCCAGGCTGACCACGTGGGCGGCTCCTGTGTCAGCCCTGGGCAAGCACGACCTGGGTCCTGGCCTCAGGATCCCAAACTCTCAGTGGGGCCGAAAGTACAGGGTCAGAAGGAACTCGAGGAGACAGTGAATCCCTGGGAGGGGCCTGGGAGACTTCCTGGAGGCGGTGTCAAACAGACTGAGATCTGAGTAGGGTTTAACCAGAGTTAGAGGTGGTGGGGGAAGAGGGTCCCAAGATGAGGAAAAGTTTGTGCAATGGCCAGGAAGGGCTGGAGCTTAGAATGAAAGGGGTGGGCGTGACTGGGGACTCTCGCCCAGAAGGGGTGGGAGGGGGAGCCAGTCCTGCTCAGTGATCGTCCACACCTGTAGAAACAGTACCCAGGGGCAGACGTTACCAGGAGGCTGAACTCGGCCCACGGAGGGGCCCAGCGCCGTGGTGGGGTGAGCCCCCCGCCCCTCCAGGTGTGTGAGCAGAGCCCAGATGGCAGGTGCTCGAGAAGGATGTGGGGTTGAGGATTTCACCCTGGAGGGGACCGGATTAAACAGACTTTGAGGTCCCTTCCAGCTGTCACACTCTGGCTTCTCGAAATCCCCCCTGGGAACAGCAACACTATAAAATATAAATCAATAGGTTAAAACTACGCTTGTCTCCTACGCTCCCAGGCCCTGTCACTCTGCTGCCACCCCCAGTCTTCAGAGGATTCCCGCTTGACTCGGGCAGCCTGAGAGCCTGGCAGGAGAAAATCGCTTTGTTCCCAAGCAAGGCAGGCTGATCGCGCCTCCATTGAAGAGACCTCGGGTTTTCTTTTTAATCATAGCTGCTTCTAAAACACACACCGTCACGTCTCGCTTGACATCCTCTCCTCCTATCTTCCCTGCTTTAATCACCAGGGAAAGAAACCAGCTGAACTGCTGGCGGCAGCTACACCCCAAAGACGCAGAGCAGAGGAAGTCCTGCTCATGAGGAGGAACCCAAACTTGGAGATGGCCAGTGCGGTGACCCCAAATTAATGGGCCTAATGGCCCCGCTGGGGACCAGGGGGTGTTCCCATTTTACCTCCCGGGGTTCCCATGGCAACAGGGATCTTGGGAGCAGCTAACAGGGACTGGCAGTGAGTGAAATGAAATTTGATGTATGTGAAAATGCAGTGGCTCTTGGAGTAATTGGGGACAGCACTCTTTTCTCCACCGGAGTCTGGTCCTTGTTTTTGTTCATACATTTTTGGGGGGAGAATTTTGGGTGCTCTTAACCACATTTATTTTCATTTTGGTAAACAGTTGCATCTCCTGCACAGGCAGGAAATGAAAACGCTTCATTAAGTAGGGCCCAGGGTGTGTGGTGAATAGTTTAGCAACGACAAAACGTGTGTGTGCCATCGATGATTTACGGACCCCCTCCAGCTGTCCCCGCTGTCCCTGTCTGTCTTCCCATCCCGCTGTCACTGGCCCTGCGTCAGCCGACGCCTGGGGAATGTAACGCCAGCATGTACTTCCCGGGCTGCTCTTGTCTCCCGAGCAGCCCCAGCAGCTCTTTCTGGCCGGCTGCTGGTTGTTCTCAAGGACGCCGGTGGGGATAGCCCAGTGCATTCCGTGCTCCCCAGGATCGCTTCCTCGGCATCCCTTTGACTACAGTTTGAGATTGTCCAGGGCTGAGTTTGAATGATCCCTATGGAACAGCAGCTACTAGGTGGGCCTCACAGGGCTGGGATATTCCCAAAGCCACTGTGCAGAGCAGAGCAAGTTTTTGGAGCATTAACCAGTGCCGTGTCTGCGTGCTCTGCTGCAAGGTGGCCGGGGCTCCCAGAATTACCAAGTGAGAGGGGCCCGGCAGCGGACGTTGGAGAGACCCCCCCAATCCTGGGCGAGAGGAGTGCCGTTGTAGCCTCTTGGGGAACCTTGAAACCCACTGATTTCTGCCTTTGTCTTTGTTGTCGCCACAGGTGATTTTGATCCTGACGAAGTATTACCATGCAGACATGGGGAAGGTTCTGGAAAGTTCTCTGTGGCGGTAAGTCTGCCCGAGGATGGGCCATTCTCCTTATGCACCTGTGTGTCTCTGAGGCCGGGGCTGAGATCCCAGGGCCCTGCTGGAGCAACCCCTGTGAATTGGAGGCCTTGAAACTTTTCTTTGGCCAGAAAATGCTTAGAGAAGAAGTTAGAGGCTAATTAAGAGCTTTGTCAGTGTGCATAGGCCGCGCCGGAGAACAGACAACCGTTCAGAAAGCTTCTTCCCTTTCTTCCTGTGTTCTTTTCCCCTTGCTCTTTTCCTCCCCCAGGGGGAAGGGGGTTTGCATTGTGAATTCAGGTCAGCGCACAATTCCCTCTGCTTGTGCTCCGAGCTTCCGACGCGGCTCCTGGAGTCCACCAAACGCGCCGATTATCCTCACGGAACGGGCGTCTTTCTTGCTTCCTGGCTCAGCCGGAGAGCTCGGTCAATAAATAACCCACTGACAACGGGCGCTATCTCTTTATATGTGAAATGTGAATTCAGTCCAAGGGCGTTAGGCAGACGCTTTGATGTTTTAAATGAGGAGAGAAGGAGGCTTTGAGAAACCATTTTGGTTATTATCATCGTCAGTGTTTACATCTGCTCACCCGGGAAGGGGGAAGGAAGGTTCCCAGCATCTTGGGCTGTGGTTTCAGAGCTTCTCCCAGGCGAGGATGCTGTGTTCTCCGGGTACCGCCTGCCACTGCCACCTTCTCTGGGTGTTGAACTGTTTTGCTTTCCAAGATGTGTCTCTCTAGTAATAATTAATTCACTTTTCTATGTGAAACCCACTAGACAGCACGGAGACGGGCTGATCAGGACTCCTGAGTTGTGTGCAACCACCTGGAGTTGATTTATTTTCAGCTTTTGGCTTTGCTTTTAGTGCAGGGGCTTGGTTCATTCTGCTGGTTCTTACTGAAGAATTTCTGTGATGCTTTGGGAATTTGCTGAAGTGACCGTGGAATCGGGTCCTTTCTTTGCTGGGTGAGGAGCGGTTGTCGCCTTGGGCCGGCCGGTTTGGGGCCCTGGTGCCGACGAGGCCGGGTGTGGGGACTGAGCTGTGAGCTTTCCTTCGCTTCTCCAGCAGAGGCGCCTTTCCCAGGCAGCCCCTCTCAGCCGTGGGTGCACCTCCCTGACTCACCAGCCTGCTTTCCAGGTCCATCGCTAGCCTCAGGAAAAGGAGCCTGTGACAGATGGTTTCCTGCCACGACCCCCCATTTCTTTAAATGTTGGTAGATTTTAATCTTGTGCCTTGAAGCAACTCACCCACTAAGGAGACTGCTTTTGAAAATTCCCCTCCAGGGTTGGGGAAGGCCCTTCACTGTTCGGGAGGAGAGTGGAAAATGGTGTGAGCCTTGAAGTCCCAGGGAAATCTCATCGGCTGCCCTCTGAGGACTCGCCTTGGAGGACTGCTTTCGGGTGGGCTGGCCCCTGGAGGGGTCCCTCTCGCTGGGCGGGTGGTCCGAGGACAGGTCCCCTGACCGCAAGGTGGAGAGGCACTCGCGTCTTTTCTTCATCCCAGGAGAATTCCTCGACTAACTCATTCCCCGACTCCTGCTGTCAGCCCGGGTCTTCACGAGCACTTGCTGATCTACCAAGAGTGACAGTGCCCGTCCCCTCCTGCCCGCCACGTCTCAGCACGGCCGGAGGCGGAGGAAGCGAGGATGTCGAAAGTATTGTTTGAATAGTGAACAATCCTTCCCGGTGTAATCTGTGCTTATACAGACAGAGTTTCTGGATGTAGTTACAATTTACTGCAAGTCCTCCTGGGGACTGGGAGTGGGGGTGGGGGTGGGAGTGACCGTGGCCGGCCCTACCGCACAGAGACCAGGCCTCCAGACTCAGAACTCTTCAAAAGCAGTGGGAAAGCCACAGAGCCAACCACCCACCTCAGAGTTGCTTCACAGGGCCTCCTTTTCCTCCCGAGAGCCTCAGTCTCCTTGTCTGTAAAATGGGGCTAAAATACCCCTGGATAGGAGCTTGGGAGGACTGAAGTAGATCATGCACAGACCATCCCTAGAACAGTACACAGTCTAAATTTAGTTTTTCTCCAAAGCAAATCAACAGATTTTAATTTTCCACGTTCCTTTCTCATCACTGTCTTTCTTACTCAGACGCTTCCTCTCCTTTATTAAAAATACATACAAATGCATTAGTCATTTCAAAAAAGTTCACCCACACCCCCACCCGTCGGGCGCAATTACTTTCTTTGTTTATCTTCTCTCTCTTATGCCGAGTCCTTGTACAGTTAGACACAGAGTAAAGTCTTGCATTTTCTTTCTTTCACACGTACAGCATGTTTCTGGTTATTCTGTGTGGTACCGTGGTCTGCATCACCATCTTTTTACGGCTGTGCACTTGCCCTTTAGATTGATTCATTCTATTCCTGAGCCCTGCTGCTGCCATAAGAAATTTAGGCCTGTGGGTTTCCTTTCCATTTGGTCCCCGGGAAGGAGCTCCGGGAGCTCCGTTACAGAGCCAGACGGCCTGAGTAGGTTTACAGCTGGCGGGCTGCAGCGCCAAATTCTTTTTCATGGGGAAACCGACCCTCCACCTGGGCCCTGCCTCCTGGCCGGCTTCAGGCTGACGACTTTTCTCCAGCTTGCTAACCTACCAGCCCAAAGGGGCGGCCATGCCATTTCATTTGCACGCCTTCGATTCCTGGTGAGGGTGGGCAGTTTCCGTGTTTAATTACCAACGGCATTTTTCTCTCACCAGCATCATCTGCTCATGACCTTTCTGTTCTGGGACTTGAACGAGTTTGTTTAGAAGTGGAAAGATTGCCATTGGCCGTTTGTCAGGACACCACCCGGCCCTCTGCCACTTCAGGCACACGTGGAGGGAGGTGCACAGTGCCCGTGCCTGGAGGACACGTGTTAAATACGGTTATTAAAGACACACGTATTGGACTTGCAGCGAGCCCCCAAGAATTCTCTTGTGTGATCACAATAGATACATTTTTAATGACAGGTATGGAATTTTCATTCTGGAAATGACTCCCTGAAACCTGAGGTGAATGCATTTTTAAATGTCCTGCAATTCACAGGCTGCATGTCTGGACTGTCTTTCCCTGGCCGCCTCCAGTGGTCCAGCACTCTGCCCCTTTTCCTGTGGGTCGTGTTCTCCGCTCAGCTGCTGGGCCCCCCTGAGTCAGTGCAGGATGGGGTGGGAGGGAGGGGTGGGGTGAGGCCCAAAGACCTCTTTTCCAGACAGGGTCCTGCACGGTCTTTGGGGTGGGACGTGGACAGATCTTTCTGGTGCCACCATTCAGATCAGAACACTGTCCATCACCACCTGGATCCGATGTCCAGGACGGCTCTCACATCTGTCCCCCTCTCTCTGTCCCCTCAGCCTTGCTCCCCTTCTGCCTCTCCATCCTCAGGGGGTCCCAGCAGTGCTTCCCAGCTCGCTCCACAGCCACTGCACCCCCACCTCCAAGCCCCTCTCCTTGCAAGGCTGTGGGGACTTGATGCACACACACAGCCACATCTGGTCCTGCTTCCTCGCCCTGGAGGCCCCCGTGGATGCCACCCATGCACCCCAACCCCCTGTCCAAGCCCGGGCAGGGGAAGTTCAGTGGGCAGAGCCAGAAGCTACAGGGCAATCACACAGAACACGGGAGCTCGTGGAGCATCTAGGGGCCTTACATGCGGTTTGTATCCACTCCACGGTAGAGCCGTAACGATTTTAAGACAAGGATAAGCAGTGTTGGAAATAACGAAAATTGGAACAGAATGATCTGTAAGTGTCCCCCTGTGCTCCCACACCCCATCTTGCAGGAGGATGCCAGGGCTGTCTGCCAGGTGCCAGAGGAATCTCAGACAGGAACTGAGGGGCCTCCAGGAGGCCGGCCTTTTAGTTTGGAAACTGGCACCCTTGCTTTCCCACGATCACCCCTCCCCTCCTGCGAGGAGCCTTCCTAGCTGTTCTCCTAAGTGCTCCCCCGCGCGTGACTGTATTCCTGGTCAGTGTGTGATGTGTGCTTTCTACACGAAGGCAAGTTTCACACCCCTCAAGGACCAAGGCCGCGCTGTGTCTCTCCATCCCATCTGATTCCATGGGCTTTCATTTCTACTGTATTGAAATTGTATTTTATTTAAGATTTTAACTAACTTAACATTTTTTTATTGAGGTATATTTGATTTACAGTGTTGTGCTAGCTTCAGGGGCACAACAAAATGATTCAGTTATACATACATATATATATTTTCTTTTTTAGATTCTTTTCCATTATAGGTTATTACAAGATATTGAATATAGTTCCCTGGGCTATAGAGTAGGAAATTGTTGTTTATCTATTTTATATGTTGTAGTGTGTAATCCCAAACTCCTAATTTATCCTCCCCACTACCCCTTTCCCCTTTGGTAATAATCATAGTCTGTTTTCTAGGTTTGTGAGTCTGTTTCCGGTTTGTAAATAAGCTCAGTTGTATGTTTTGTATTTAGATTCCACATATAAGTGATATCATATGACATATGTCTTTCTCTGTCTGACTGACATCACTTAATATGATAATCTCTAGGTCCATGCATGTTTCTGAAAATGTCATTATTTCATTCTTTTTTATGGCTGAGTAGTATTCCATCATGTGTATATATACCACAACTTCTTTATCCAGTCGTCTGTCAGTGGACATTTAGGTGGCTTCCATGTCCTTGCTATTGTAAATAGTGCTGCTGTGAACACGGGGGTGCATGTATCTTTTCGAATTAGAGTTTTCTCTAGATACATGCCCAGGAATGGGATTGCTGGATCATATGGCAAGTCTGTTTCTAGTGCTTTAAAGAACCTTCATACTAAGTCCATAGTGGCCGCACCAGTTTATGTTCCCACCAACAGTGCAGGAGGGCTCCTCTTCCTCCACACCCTTTCCAGCATTTATTTTCTGTAGGCTTTTTAGGGATGGCCATTCTGACAGGTGCGAGGAGATACCACATTGTAGTTTTGATTTGCATTTGTCTAATATACAATTTTAATTAAATTTTTATTTGTTCAGTTTTACTTGTTTTAATTTTGTTTT